TTTTTGTTGACCTTTGTCCATGGAAGGTCCCTGCAAAATTTCATTGAAATTGGTTCAGGGGTTTTGGAGAAGAAGTCGAAAATGTAAATTGTTTACGGACGCACGACGGACGACAGACGACGACGGACAAAAGGCGATCGCAATAGGTCACTTGAGACTTTGTCTCAGGTGACCTAAAAATTGGATAAAAAATACATATTTCTGTAAATGTAAATTGATTATTTTTTCATTTTCGTATATAAGATTATAGATAGCCTAAATTCTTAAGGTACATGCTGTAACTCTATTAATGATGTCTTTTCTTCAAACTTACAGGCATCACATACACAAGAAAACAGACGGTGGACGAAACACTGAACTTTCAGAAGTTGGACCTAGATTTGAAATGAAATGTAAGACAGCTTATATATTCAGGTTGCAGTCAGTTTTGTAGCTTGTGGTCTAGTAATACACACAACAATGTATTTGCATAATCATTTTTAGCTCACCTGGCCCAAAGGGCCAAGTGAGCTTATGCCGTGGTGTGGCGTCCTTCGTCCGTCTGTCAATCTGGCGTCAATATTTTACTTGAAACAACTTCTTCTGAATAATCAAGAGGCCCCGACTGATGATATTTGGCCAGTAGCATGCTGGGATAGAGGGATACCAAGTTTGTTCAAATGAATGACCTTGACCCACTTTCAAGGTCAAAGGGGTCAAATGTGTTAAAATCTTCAAACGACTACCTTCTCAATAACCAATATGCCCTGGGTACTGAAATTGAGCCTGTAGCATGCTGGGATGAAGGACTACCAAGTTTGTTCAAATGATTGACCTTGACCAACTTTCAAGGTCACAGGGGTCAAATGTCATAAATTTTTCAAAACACTTCTCAATAACCAAAAGGCCCAGGGTACTGACATTGGGCCTGAAGCATGCTGGGATGAAGGACTACCAAGTTTGTTCAAATGAATTACCTTGACCCACTTTATACCTAATGTCCTTGTATGGCATTCAAGGTCACAGGCGTCATATGTTTAAATCTTTTAATAGGTTCTTATGAATCGAACACTGATATTCTGCCTGTAGCTGTATTTTAGTCCACTTTTAAGATTACAAGTGTGAGATTAATACCAGGTGAGCGATGCAGGCCCATAGGGCCTCTTGTTACAATCCAGTCTGATCTATATTCATAAGTTTATAAGTACATTAACTGATACTCGGTAACATAACTAAGCAAACTGTTTATATAACTTTGATTTCATGCTGTCTTAGCATTGATGTGAAAAATATAAATCAGCAGTATTCCATTAGTAGTTTCTATATTAATTCTCTGTAATGTTACCAGCCTAGAAATTACATTGTCATGTTTAATAAGTTGATTTTTTCTTGCTTAAATTGTAAAAGTAACCTGTATACTGTACTAGGTCTTGTATTTGACAGCAGTGTATAGCTAGATGCTTTCTGGAAGACTTATCAAGTCTATATATATGCTGTAAGTGTGTTTTGTGTATTCCAGTGTTAAGTCTATATATATGCTGTAAGTGTGTTTTGTGTATTCCAGTGTACCAGATCCAGCTTGGTACCATTGACAATGCTGACACAGCTGATGTGGAATGGGTATACAGACCATATATGAACACGGCCAAGAAACGCAAGTTCCTCTCCAACTGAGCATTGCATTATCCTGGAATTTACCGAGGTGCTCACTGGCAGAGCAGTATTCTAGGAGTTCTTCCATGTTCATGTTATATTCTGGGATGTTTTTGCCAACCGAGTATCACCTATCCTGGGACACAAACAATGACAGGGCAATTTTGTCACCGAGTATCACGTTACTCGGGGGTTTACTCACCCGAGTGTCGTATTATTCAGGGACGTTCTCATGGAGTGTCAAATTATCCTTGGACATACTGACTGAGTATTACACATTAAAAAAGATCCTTGGATTTCCTTGACCAAGTTACTCTAAGTTATCTCGAGATTTGTGCAAGAAACAGCATTTTACAGACTTGAGGCACTAAAGACGAGGTTTACTCATTGCCTTGTCCTGATCCGAAACCAGAATCTGGATAATTAAGGAAAACTTGATTATATGAAACACAGATTGTTGACTATTTAACAGGAAGAAAATCCTGTTACCATTTTATTAAAAGCATTTTGTTGTAAATGTACCATATTAAACATATTTAATAGAAGAGATGTGTCATGAAGGAATACATGATAAAGTGGCATTACAGCTTCAGTTAATGTATATGTATGGAGGATGGGAAACTCTCTATCACAAGGGATCCCCAAGAGAAAAGAAACATGGAGTTCTTGTAATTTTAAATTTATTGAACTTGATCATTACAAAATCATTGTGACAAATTACATATAGAAAGCTTATTAACAAACTTTGACATACAAGTGCATCACATGTTATTGTTTTTAAACCTTTTATCATTGTTTTCTTCGACAGAACAATGCAAATAAATATGTCATGACTCAAATATGATGAATTATGTAGTGTATATATACAATAGAAATTCTGTATGTCATAAAGTGCTAAAAATACATGTATGTTCAAATCTCTTTATGTTGCTTCCATTTTTCCAGTGAAATATTGGCATTATAAAGGGGTTTGGAAATACATGGAGGGAGATATATCAAGTTATTGTAAGAGAACAGAAATAGAGGACCCTGAAATACGTTGGCAGTAAATGAAATGGCATTGCATCAAGGGTTTACTTTTATATCAAAACAACATGTATGTTCCTGTACTTTGTGCCCTGTTTGCTTTTTAGGGAAAATTATGATACTGTATAGCGGTTATATTTCGCAGGGGTTTTTAATTACGCTTTATTCGCACTCTGACTAATATCCGCCAATTCTAAACACCAACGAAATTATCGAAAATGTTAACCATTTTTACGGACCTGATCACAACAGGTTTAAAATACTTATAACCCGACGCTGTAATGCAAGCTAAAATGAACTTAAATCAGATTATCACCGGACAACTGGGCAGTCCATGTAAAAACAACACTTACATATAAGTGGCCACAACATATATATGTGTACACATTAGGTGATAAATTTATTACAGTTTACTCCTACAAAGGTACATACACATTTCAGTCACTGGCGGATGACGCTCGGGACCAGTGTTTTCAAACGGTTTACCTGTATTTCGAGGTTTAACCCTTAAATGATGACACTCAAAATACTTTGCACGACACATGGGATTTGGTTGCACAGCGAAATATAACCCCCGCAAATATGTACTGAATACGAAACCGCAAAATATGGCCCCCCGCGAATTTAAAGCGCTATACAGTACAAAGAGATCTACTGTACTCAAATGATATAAGTTATCTGGTAAAAGATCAAAACCAAGCTTTAAAATAGAAAAATCTTTAGGTTGTGCATAGTTGCCATTTAACTTGACATTACAAATATCACATAAATCGAGGCTTTTGTCGAGGTTTTGATCCTAAACTCTACACCTGTTTTGCTGGCTCCCATAACTACACAATAATTGACTCGTTTTCTTCCACATCATTTGGTACCAAAAGTGCTGGTAAGGAATGACATCAGTAATGTTGATGCAACAACAATATAGCAAAATTTCTGGATAGTCTACATAGGCACTAAGACCACATTTGGATAGAGCAGAAAATATTTTTATGGTCAAACATAGAAATTCATTGTACATGTACCTCAATTTTAATTAAAAAAGCATGCAAGGCCTTCATGACAAGCTTAAGCTTGTGCAATAATTCTTATTTCCATGATTTGGTGACCGTTTATGATGAGGACATCACCATTTTCAGTCAAATGACATTTTGACGGGTCATGAGTGGTTACTAAGCAATACAAATATCTTATATAGAAAGAGGTAGGATAAAATTAAATATTATTGATCAATTACAGAAATATTTACATTCACTGAAAAATGAGACTTATGTCAGAATTATTTCTTTTATGATAACAAATAATTTAAGCAATATCAATAGTACATGTACAACAAACCTCAAATCACATGACATAGAAAAAAAAATATCAAGTTAGAAATAAGACAATTGAAAAATGAAAAATGATGATGTTGTCATTATGGAATAAATGTAAATATATTGCACATATCAGGTGGGCTGTTTACTGTCTGAATCCACCACAGGACACTTCAGCAAACGGACTAGAGTCCTGTGCAGTTTGACACATGAGTTGTGCCCCAGTTGGTTCCTTGGGTGGGTAGCTTGGTCAGGATGTGTTGTCAGTTAGCTGGGACTCAAACCTGTCCAGCAGTCTCTTGATTTCCTTACTGATGCCGTCGGTCAAGGAAAGTAGTAAATTGTTTAACATTCAAAGATTGTAACAATTACATCGAATAATAATGAACATTGAAATCTGGTTTAGTCCCTAGTATACACAATTACATTTCTAGAACCTGTGTGTAATTCAAACCAGTTTATGGAATAGGGAATGATTGTAAAACATGTATATGCTTCAGCTTTGATGGAAATGGAGAACAACCCGAAGTCTAATGACAGAATGGAGCTGAACACAAAGTCGTACTAAAGTGAATGAAGCAGAAAAAATAAGTCACATTGACCTACATTTAATGTTATACTCGTCCACATCCACATACGAAGTTTAAATAACTGTTGGACTTTCAGTATTAGTCTAACCAGGATGGTTGACAGATGGATGGAAGGAAACGGCAAACACTTTATAATCTCACTATATAACAGGGACATGACTAGAGGCTGAGGGGCCTTAATAGCTCACCTGGTAATTTGTTTCCAATTTAGAACCTGCTGATTACCATTCCAGTTTATCAAAGAAGTACCGGTACATGAAATACAAACGGCAGGAAGGACTAAATCCATTTTGGTGCGTTAGACACCAAAAACATTAGTGTATTCTTCATGCCCAGCAATTTGGTATATGGTAATAGCGTAGGGATCTCAACTATTTCAATGTTATGACAGGGAGGTAGTCTCCAGGGGTGGATCTAGACCTCCGGGCCAATCCTAATAGCATAAATAGGTTTTTTTCTTTGTGTCTAGCAATTGTATATTTGGTTATACTTATAGGGTGGGGATAAAATCTCTCAATTCATACTATTGATTTACCTCTATTTCCCCCTATTGGGCTCCACTCATCTGCCCCCTGGGGGAGGGGGGCACAAACTCCATTTAGGTTGCTCTTGGCCAAATTTGGTCAAAACCCCTCCATTTGTACAGAAGGAGAAGAATTTGGAATATTTATCTCTATTTCCCCTATAGAGCCCCGCCTTCTCCCCTCATGACTTGATGAACTAACAAGAGGCCCATGGGCCTTAACGGTCACCTGATATATTTATACAGAGAGTTGATTTCGTTTTTAACATGANGAGAAGAAGATTTTTGAAATTTTAGTCAATTTGACCCCTTTTGGCCCCGCCCCTCAGGCCCCTGGGGGCGTTGGACTAAACCGGCAACAATTTTTGTTGACCTTTGTCCATGGAAGGTCCCTGCAAAATTTCATTGAAATTGGTTCAGGGGTTTTGGAGAAGAAGTCGAAAATGTAAATTGTTTACGGACGGACGACGACGGACAAAAGGCGATCGCAATAGGTCACTTGAGACTTTGTCTCAGGTGACCTAAAAATGAAAATCCATGTCACAGACTGTTTTACTATACAAGCCAGTTTACAAGTGTAGAAGGATACATCTGGTCCCCTAGTCGGTATACTGGTCCCATGTTGTTATTCAGCTCTTCACACTTGGCCATTAAGGCATACATCGCCTGAAGGAGAAATTAAAGAGCAATTATATAATACTACACAGGGTGGATGAAGCAGCTATAACTCTGCTATTGTGAGTAGTCATATTCAAAACTCCTACACCAACTGTCAGTGATGTGTAGCCTTGTGTCATTTCCATACCAAGATGTACCTTTATCTTGTTGATTTTTATTGTACATTGGATTAGCTAGAGGGAATTTCCCTTTAGCTCAGCGGTAGACTAGGAACCTGAAGATCGAGGGTTCGATCCCCGGTGGAAGCATACTATTTTCTTTCTGTTTCAATATTAATGAATGCAGTATACAGAATGCATTGGTTTCACTATTGTACTGTGGAGTTGTTCTCCTGAAAATGAAGTGCAATCTTCCTATAACAACAAAAAGAATTCAGAAACAAGTAAATTGCTCAATATATGTCTGTATTCAGCACTACAGAGTCCTTGTTCTAGAACATGCTGCTTCAATGCTTACTATAACATTTTGTCATTTATAGTAAAACTAATTTTGTTTAAAATCACATACATGTTTTTCATTTCTGCAGCTATTATATCTTAGGTAAAAGCAAATAGAGAATTGCTGGTATGTCAACATAGGTATATTCTACCAGTTAATAATCTAAACCATAACAAATACACATGGTTATCTCCCTTGCTTTATATATATTATTAGTCACTCCAGGACAGAGTTGGTGGTTTGTGAGGAAATTAAAATTTGTTTTGCACATCAAATCACTTCAAAACTCTGTCAAACCACAAATCATTCCTGAATGACTTCACTGTGAGTTGAACTAATTCGAAAACAGGTCACGCATAACTGTAACTGGTTCATTATATATTGTTTTCAAATTCATTATATGTATTCACTGATCAGTAGCAATTATTCTAATAATTGTCACAACTTTTTATCATAGAAATCTAAATATATCTCAGGTTTACCAGATCCTCTGTTCAAGTTGAGTGACCTAAGATGTTATCTGTGTGTGAGCGATGAGAAACCTATTGAATATAGTACACTATACTCTATGGTATATATCTTAAATCTTTCCATTATCAATTGTAACAGAGCAGATGAGAAGTGTTATTCTCCACTCTGTGAGCAGCAATGCTGTAAATACAACAGACACTTGATAGTTTACCTTTATACTGCTGTCCACAGAATCACAGGTAACATCGACAGAAGTTTTATAGGCATCCAGACATCCTACTGTTATGGCGGACATCTTTAAATCAAACAAAAATAAAATAATGTTTATATTGAAAACATTTTTATGTATTAAGTGAACACTACCAGATTAAACAGAACCTGAACCTCATGTTGAACTCTGACCTCACATAAGTAACACCTGTGAGCTCTTACCTTATGTAAGTTAGACCACAGATTAAACTCTGACCTCACCTGAGTAACACCTGTGAGCTCTAACCTTATGTAAGTTAGACCTCAAATTGAACTCTGACCTCACATAAGTAACACCTGTGAGCTCTTACCTTATGTAAGTTAGACCTCAGATTAAACTCTGACCTCATATATGTAACACCTGTGAGCTCTAACCTTATCTAGGTTAAACCTCAGATTGAACTCTGACCTCACATATGTAACACCTGTGAGCTCTTACCTTATGTAAGTTAGACCTCAGATTAAACTCTGACCTCATATATGTAACACCTGTGAGCTCTAACCTTATGTAGGTTAGACCTCAGATTGAACTCTGACCTCACCTGAGTAACTCCTGTGAGCTCTAACCTTATGTAAGTTAGACCTCAGATTGAACTCTGACCTCACCTGAGTAACATCTGTGAGCTCTTACCTTATGTAGGTTAGACCTCAGATTGAACTCTGACCTCACCTGAGTAACACCTGTGAGCTCTTACCTTATGTAAGTTAGACCTCAGATTGCCCATCATGAGGTCCACACTATCGGCCACTCGTCTGGCATGCGCCTCAAGCTCCAGTATGGCACTGGCGTCGATTGGAGGAATGTCATCAGGACTTTGCTGCATGAGACTGCTGGTTGCCATGGCAGACGAGGAACTGGACATGCTGTTGACACTTGATATGCTTCTAAGGCTTGAGGTTCTGCTGCTCAAACCACTGGAATCTAAAATACATTAAATAGCATGTAAACGTTTATCATCTTTCTTAAAGAAAGGAAGCACCATCTGATAACAAATATTTATTATAGATAACAGTTAACCTTACCCCTGTCTTAGATACCAGTTACAAGACTTACCCATCGATCACAAATACCAGTTATCCAGACTTGATTTCCTGGCCATAGGTACCAGTTACCCAGACTCACTTGTCACAGATACCTGTTGCCCTGTTTCTCTTGTCATAGATACCGATTACCCAGACTCACCTGTCATAGATACCAGTTCCCCACATTCACCTGTTATAGATACCGGTTACCCAGACTCACCTTTCACATATACCAGTTGCCCACACTCACCTGTCACATATACTAGTTACCCAGACTCACCTTTCACATATACCAGTTGCCCACACTCACCTGTCACATCTACCAGTTACCCAGACTCGCCTGTCACATATACCAGTTGCCCACACTCACCTGTCACATATCCCAGTTACCCAGACTTACCTGTCATAGATACCAGTTACCCCCATTCACCTGTTATAGATACCAGTTACCCACATGCGCCTGTTATAGATACTGGTTGCCCAGACTCACCTGTCGCATATACCAGTTACCCAGATTCCCCTGTCATAGATACCGGTTCCACAGATTCACCTGTCATAGATACTGCTTACCCATATTCACCTTTCATAGATACCGGTTACACAGACTCACCTGTCATATATAGCAGTTACCCGGACTTAACTGTCACATATACCAGTTACACAGACTCACCTGTCATATATAGCAGTTACCCGGACTTAACTGTCACATATACCAGTTACCCAGACTCACCTGTCATGTATACCAGTTACCCACACTTATACATATTACCTGTCATGTATACCAGTTACCTAGACTCACCTGTCATAGATACCAGTTACCCAGACTCACCTGTCACAGATACCAGTTACCCAGACTCACCTGTCTTTGTTAAAGGGCTACTCCTCCTAATTTTCTCTTGTAAATCCTCAGCAATAAACTCTATCATTTCTCCTTTCCTTACTATGGTTCCATGTGGCATACTCTTTGAAAGCATTGTCTCTTCAATATTTTCAAACTCTGGATCTTTTTTCCCCAGAATTTCTTCGGTGGTACTGGCTGACCTACAACTCCTCCATTCAGTTATAACATTGGTACTGTTATTGATGTAGGACGCCAGTTGATTCTGTCCGTCACTTTTACTTCTTTTTCGCTCATACTGCTGCAGTGGCCTTGGTAGACAAAGGCTATCAGGTCTGGAAATGTTAGACTCTGAACTGGGAGACTGTTTATCAGGCTCCCCACTATCACATAGCTCCAATGTGCTGACACTTTCACTGTTACTAACTCCCTCCAGGGTCACGTCCGAACTTGTACTGTGCCGGTCTTTCCGTCGGTCTCCGTCCACACTTTCTCTGACACCCTCAATCTGTACAGGATCACACCATAGTGAGTCCATAGAACTGTTTAGATTTGAACTTCCTCCCTGATCATCATCATTTGCGACAATGTCTTCCATTGTGCTGTGTCAACTCACAGTCTGCACTTCAATATCTTTATCAGCACTTGTAATCTCCAGTCTTTCTTTTCCTTGCTGATGTCTTCATTTCCTTACACAAGTTTTGGTTCATCTTCAGAGTTTAGCCTAAAATAAAAGATAAATAACAATTATTTCATTCCATATAAAGTTGTTTTTTATCTGCTTGGAAAGCCCTCTATCCAGCAAGCTGCAGACTAAATTACAATCTATAGGCTGCTGATTGTTCATAGAACAAGAGGTCCAAAAGGCCTGCATTGCTCACCTGGTATTGATTTCACACTATCAGTATTTATGACTATAAGTCATTCAAATGAAACTGTTAAAAGATTTTGAAACATTTTAACCCTGTGACCTTGAAAGTCGAACAAAGTCATTACATTGAATAAACTTTATAGCCCTTTGTCTCAGCAAGCAACTTGCATCAAATATCACCACCCTAGACCTTTTGTTTAATGAGATAAGGTCATTTAAAGGTTTATACATATTTGACCAAATGTGACCTTGAAAGTGGGTCCAGGTTATTCAAATGACTTGATAGCCCTTCATCCAAGCATGCTACTGGCAAAATATCAGCATTCTGGGCCTCAGATTTTAAACAAATTTGACCCCTGTGACCTTGAATATAAGTCAAGGTAATTCATTTTAACAAACTTGGTAGCCCTCCATCCTCGCATGCTAATGGCCAAATATCATCATTCTGTGCCTCATGGTTATTCAGAAGAAGTCCTTTAAAGCTTTTAATCATATTTCACCCCTGTGACCTTAAATATATAATTCAAGGTCATTTATTTGAAGACACTTGGTAGCCCTTCATCCCAACATTTTATATCATTATCCTGGGCCTATTGGTTATTCAGAAGAAGTCGTTGAAAGATTTTGAACATATTTGACCCCTATGACCTTGAATAAAGGTCAAGGTCATTTATTTTTACAAGCTTGGTAGCCTCTCATCATAGCATGCTACTGGCCAGATATCATCATCATGGGCATTTGGGTTATTCAGAAGAAGTTGTTTAAAGTGATTTTTTACATATTTGACCCCTGTGACTTTGAATATGTGGAAAGGTCATTTATTTGAACAAATTTGGTAGCCCTTAACCCCAGTTTGCTTCTGTCCAAATATCATCACCTTAGGACTTTTAGTTATTAAGAAGTTGTTTAAAGTTAAATTTTGACGCCAGACGACGGTGTATCATCAATCACAGATTGGTGAAATGAACCACGGTTCATGTGACCATAATGGTGAAATAAACCGCAGTTGATAACTCTTTATCCCAGTAATCTTATTCGGGGGCCAAATATCATTACTCTTTCTAGAATATATTGATATTTAGCAAAATTTGTTAGATCAGAACAAATTTGACCCTTGTGACCTTGAAATAAATCAAGGTCATTCATTTGAAAAATACTTGATAGCTTTAGAGCTTAACTCCAACTTTCCACTGGCAAAATACCATGACCCTATCCTCTTACTTACTCAGAGGAAGTTGTTTAAATCATATTTAATTATTTGACCCCTGTGACCTTAAAGTGGGTCAAAGTCATCAATATGAACAAACTCAACAAAGGTGATGCTATTAGTTATATTCCTATGTATTCAAGGTATGCTTTGACGTCATTCCCATAGACTCAATATTGAATTTTGACGTAAAATACACGTTTGGCCAGATTTATTCTCATCATTGTTAAAAGTCTATGAAACAGATGACCAAAGCATAGGTAAATTGGAATTTTTACAGCTTCCGTAACTGGAGTGCACACAAGTGTGACCGTTGGTGGCAATGAATGTGGCTCTGCCTGGGGCTATGTTTGATAGATTTGGGGAAATTTAACTGGACCAGGGCAAATTTATTTGTCCAACCTCCATTTAATTATATTTTACATTCTACAACAGATAGAGAACTGATCCAACCCAAACCTAAGATAGAACTATATAAGAAAAGCTTTCAAATGTCTGGTTTTCACGTATGGAATGGATTGCCCTAACAAATTAAAAATTCTGACAGTCTGCAGTCTTTCAAGACAAAATGTTTTAAGCACTTTCTTTACCTCTGAATTCTAGTTTGATCCATATGTATATTATGACCATATGCTGTATCCTCCATGTTATCAAGTTCCTGTACTAGAAGCAAGGAATACAATCTTTGCAATGTTGTCTGTAAATTACTATGTATATGCTTCTTGATTTCATATTTTAAGTATTGGTAATATAATTGCATTTGTCCATGTACAATTAATTTACCATACATTTTACAGCAACATATTTGGCTGTAATTATGCTAGAATTGTATTTCAAATCTTTGCAACGTTGCCTTTAAATATATCTGAATTTATATTCATATAAATATAATGCTATAACTCTGTATATATTATTGCCGTAGATTGTAGAGAAGGCCTCGAGGGAGAATAGTTTTATAACTAATTGAGCTACCTTCTATAAATAAAGCATTATTATTATTATTATTAAATATAAGTGGATTGCGGAAATTTAACTGAAAATAGGGAAATGTAACTTTCCAAGGCAAAATATCCTCAGAAATATGGTACCTTTTATCCCATTTGCAAGGAAATTTCCCCAAATGTAATCCCTTTAGTGATAATTACACTTATATTACATTAGAAAGCACTAGACAGATCTTTGCACTGGATTTCATTAATTTTTGACAAAAAAAAGAAGCATGGAAAATTTATATTCCAGTCGTAAATCAATATGGAATCCAAAGGAAAATAAAAGGTATGTGAAAGACTTATTGTACATCACTACATATATATCACATTTTTGCAAGAAAAAGTTGACTTTGCCAACACTCATGATCAGCTGTCAAAGGATGGACACTTATATAATTATCAGGCCAGACAAAAAATGTATGTGTTACATGTAACATGTTGGAAATCTTTTAACAAATATTTTATATGGTCTATATCGGAGAGTGATCAGCATGTTTTTAACAGGGCTTCTTTGAAATTGCCTTAAAAAGTTTGGATATAGGCACAAACAAATTAGGGTATAAGGGTTACCGATATTATAACACAATTATTTTTTTTGCGTCATATGAATTTCTGAAGTGGCTCTGTACTTCACAGTTGAAGTTGAAATGCAGGTGAATATCAGTCACTCTTTGGAAAAGTCTGTTGATGGTTTTTACTTACAATATGTCATCTATAGACTGTCCTCTCACAGTTTAAATATTGAGGTCGGGAGGCGGAATAATATAAACCGTCATAATCGACTTTGTACTAGATGTAATTTAGGCAACATTGAAGATGAATTTCATTTTATTCTCAAATGTCCATTTTATGAAAATCTAAGGTTAAAGTACATAAAGAAATATTATCGTTTAAGTCTGAGTGTGTTTAAGCTAACTCAACTATTAAGTACCAATAATGTAAAGGAACTTTTTAATCTTGGAAAATATTTACATTTGGCAACAAGTGTACGTAAAGAGTCACTCTCCTCTTAACATATGTCCATATGTTATTCTGTATTGTATTGCATAACATGTTGTACTTATCTTGTAATATATGTATTATACCCATGAGTCAGTTGACTCGAGGTTAATAAAATAATCTAATCTAAAA